TTTCGATTTCTCCAATAAGAGGTTCGAGCCAAGTGTCAGCTCTCCCAGATTTTCTTAAAAGGATTTGATTAGCAGGGATTTCGAGTGTGACACTTCTCATAGTCATGCTTCTATTGCTAGAACTTGCTTCTACATGTGGGATGGATGAAGATGGAGCAGCGGAAGGGGGAGTAGTAGAAAAGGTGAACACCGCAGGAGTCGTGGGAGTTGAAGCAGGAATGGTAGAAGTAAGCATAGGAATGGAGGTAGGAATAGACAAGACTGGTGAAAGAGCAGAAGTGGTCAATGCTGACAAGGAAACACATACAGTTGGCAAAGGAATGGATGAAGTAGGTGCGAATGAAGAAAGAGGAACTTCATCAAAAACAGGTCCGAGTCCGTCACTCTCAAAACCACTAGTAAAGAGATGCTGAGTTGATTCATTTGTGTCTCTTGGCACGGTATCCTCGTCTGAAGGAATCAAAACAGGCTCGGTGGTCGAAGTTTGAGCAGGAGTATCTTCAATCTCATCATCGTTAATGACTCGTCTCCTAATTCGTGGCCTAGCTATTAACAAGGTACCTTCCTCTTCTTCATTCTTGGAACCTTCTCCTAGAGTTTTCCTTTTTTGAAGTAAGGTTCGAGCCTTGTCCAAGTCAAGTGCAGCATTACCAGACATGCGGATGGCCTTAGCAATATCAGCTGTCATTCCTTTGTCAAATCCTGATTAAAAGAAGGATACACAATCAACAATAAGGAAAAAATACTTAATGTGCAAAAAGAAAAGTGTGTAAAAAAAAAAACGATACCATGCGTTTTAACTCTCCAGCCATGTAAAGCAGAGATTGATTTCCAAGTTCTTTGGTCCTTAGGAGCAATCTTCAAAATTGAATCTACCCAACCACGAAAGTTGGGAACAGGTTCCACATCTCCCATGGTTGCTACAAAAAACCAAAAAGAGACGAAGTCAGAAAAAGAATCGAAATTCTCAAAAACAGATACGGTTTAAAAAAAAAAAACTTACGTGCAAAATTCCACTTCTCAGGGAAGGGAATATTTGTTTCACCAAGTAAATCCACCGTACGCACAGCAACGTAACGGGCGTACCATCCACGATCATTGTCATCTTCTGTGCTCACCAAAACCTTCTTGCTTCTCGCGGTTAAGGTAAACACTCCATGACGTATTAAATTAGGATGGTATAAATGGATAAGGTGAGAAAAGGTGAAATCAACAGTGGCTTTGGTAGAAAGATATCTCAAACAAGCCACTGCTCTCCATACTAAAGGGCCAACTTGGGCCAAACAAATATTAAAGAAACGACAAAAATCGAGGATGACTGGGTCAATTGGGGGATTAAAACCCAAAGTAAAAGGGTAAGTATAAACAAAAGAGTACCCGATCCTAAAAGAAGAAATTCTTTGATTTATGGAAGGAATTGACATTCGAAGACTATTTTTCCAGTTACAGTCTCCTCTGATGGTAGGGATTGTAAGTTCGGTCACTAATGTAGGATAAGTATCAGTTTTTTCTAAACTAGCAACTTGCTTTTGAAGAGATTGTCTATCACTTACAAAAGATAAATCATTTGGTACGATTTCATCAACTAAAGGTTCCCTAGAAGAATCAGAAATTTCTTTACCTTTAGAAGAAGGAGTTTTCAGAATAGAACTCCTAGAAGAAGAGCCAGAAGAACCGCCTCGAGTAGATTCTAACCCTGTACGAAGTCTGCCTCCTCTGTCTCTTCTATGTCTAACAGGAGCATTGGGGAATTTGTCTAAAATTGGAACTCTTTTAGGGTTAGGGTTTGGAGACGCCATTGTTGAGCAAAGATGAATCGAAGGAGAGCAAAAGTAAAGAAGGAAAACGTTTGCTAAAGATTTATGGAGAAGAGGACAAAGGAAGAAAAGGTTAAGTATGTATATGATGGCAACCGTCAAACTTAGAAGAGTAATGATGGAAAGCCTATAATAAAGGCAACTATCACTTCGTGAATAGTGGGATTAACGAAGCTTTGAAAAAGGGTGCAAAATAGCAGAATCAATCAAAAGGTGACACATGGACAAAACATTAAATGGAAAAGACAATTGAGACGACAATATTGTCATACGCATTGATTATGGCAAAAATTCCTTTTTTACGAAGGTCCACTTCCCAATTATTTAATTGATAAATAAATGGAAAGTGGGGGGACTATCTGTATTGGGAAAAAAGTTGAATTTATATTGAAGATGACGTGGCATGACACGTGGACTGGACAAGTGGTCAAAGCGTAACAGTTGGGAAAAAGGTACGGGAAATGACAGGTACGGGAAGAAGAAATGAAATAGGCACGAGAAGCAGTTTAGACACGAGTCTCGTACCAATTCGAAGTCATTTAAAGCCAGCGGGTCGAAAGGCATTGAAGACATGAATCTGAAGACAAAAAGGAGTCCAAATTCAGTATTAAATACCTGATACGTTAGAAAATTGGTATTTAATAGGAATGATTGTGTAACGGCTCATTTAATATCATTTATTGTCCATAATTGTCTCATTAAAGCTTAGATTTATTTCCTTTACCTAGAATCAACTATAAAAGGAGGAAATTGTATTGGAAAAAGGACATGACTTACCTCATACTGAAATAAGAACTTTTGCTTACTGCTTTATTATTATTCTCAGAAAGCCTATTATTATTTTGGTCTCTTGATTATCAGTAACCCGATTTTTCATCTCAAATTCTAATATTATCCAAAAATTTATTTCTTTGGCGAAACACACAATTGATACAAATATGATACATATATGATACACATATCATTTTTTTTCATGTTCGGCTTTTACTTCGAATTTTCAATTCAAACCACCTCAAAACTTCACCAAATCATCCCAAAAATGAGATTCAAGCTCCTTAAGTTGTGCCTAATCTATTCTAATAATACCCACTCAAAACAAAGCAAAAATTTGATATTTTTTTGCTACAAATAGCTAATTGGCTAATTTGGCTAATATTAGTAATATTTTATCAATTGACCAATTTTTGTAATTAGCAACTTATAAATGGACATAGCTGGTAATTTCCCTTAAATACTAAAATAATGTATATGTAAGCAAGCTTTACAAACAGTACCTTGCTTCAGTACATGTCATGACAAGATTAAAGGTACTAATCTCCCAACAGCATTTATATAGTATTAGTAAGTTTTTAGTGCTGGAAAAATTAAAGATGCTATATTAGAATTTTATGAGAATTGTATTTGGCTTCATTAAATTGCATTTGGTTAGCCGTTAGAATTTTAATGAGGTTTTACAAAATATAACAATCTAGCATTGATTGAGAGCTTTCTCATCACTTAATAGTTGAACGTATTTACTATATTCTCAAAGTTCCATCAAACTTTCTTGAAAGCACATATAAATATAAATATCAAGCCATTAATTGAATAACTATTTTTCCGCCGTGAAAGTAACTCTTCTCATCTTCTATACCAAATTCTTCTGAAAATTTTCTAGTTGCAGTTAATTTTACCTCTAGACATTTCACGTCCACCCTACTTCTCCAGTTATAATCACATTTAATTCTGCACTAAATAAACCTCATAATTTTCTCTTTTCCTTCGCATTATATAAATGTAGTCAAACTTTTGCTATTATCTCCCACACTTCACAAACCTCCCTTTTCCTATTGCTACAAGTTTCAGTCTTCTATCAGGTTGCACCTCTTCTTCAAGATTGTACTCCTTTTTTTTTAATTAATTTTATATTGGTTCTGTTTTTCTTTAGTACGTAGTTGTGGACTAAATTTTTATTTCTTTGTCTTATAAATACAGGATATATAAGCAGACAATTCAAAGGAAACAAAAAATGAACTACAGAAGGGAGAGTAGTGATCCAAAGCTTGATTTGAAGCTAAACTTATCTCCACCAAGGGGAGAAATTTCACCATCTTCATCAATGGAAAGATCACCAGCAAGTTCATGTGTTTCTAGAGAACCAACTCCAGAAGATCAACAGTTTTTTGGTAATTACCCAAATAGCCCTGAGGCAACAACTTCAATGATGCTTGTGGGTTGCCCTAGATGTCTAATGTATGTTATGTTATCAGTGGATGATCCTAAGTGTCCCAAATGCAAGAGTTCTGTTTTGCTTGATTTTTTCCGTGAGGATAGAATCAACAATTCAAAGAATTGAATCAAGATGATGAAGAAGAGGAGGAAAAACAGCTATGGCGCCTTTTGGCAGCTTGATTTGCTGGTTAATTATTAACCCTTTACTAAGATTAGGTTTTAGGTAGGAGTATTTAATTTCTTCATATAGTATGTCCTTTTTTTTTTTTTGGTTATGAAATGTTTTAATTTTGTGAGTTTGTTGAGGTTATTGAATGAATTGTGATGAAAATATTGAATATACCTCGACTATAGGGCCAGCTGGTCTTGTTATGCAACCAATGTGCCTAGTATGGTTTGGTCGTCATATTGTTGCTATCTTTGCTAAATGCAATCAATATTTTATTGCAACTACCTTATTTAATACCATTATTAAGTCCAATCGCAAGGCTGTTCATTCCTTACTGTACATTATGCATCTCATCATTATGCACTATATTGAGTTCATACTTTCTTGGGAGATCCTTCACATGGCTTTGGATTGTGAGTCGAGCTGATTCCAGTCACTGCTCAACCTCCATTAACGGAGGTCCAAACAAGTCAGTTGTGTTTAGGAGGAGAAGATGAGATTAGAAAGAATAATTGGTAAGGAACTTTCTAGTATACTGAAGACTGTAATTACAAAATCTAATATACATCATATATATATATACACACACGATTGCTAGACCTCTACTAATTTAATCCCCAATCAACTAATGCCAACTAACTATAACTATCCTAACTAGCTGGTGATAGCTGGCTAACTGCCTTGCCCAGCTGTCATACTACCTCATATTCTCACAACCCCCCCCCCCCCAAGCTGGAGGGTTTAAAATGTTAAGCACTACAAGCTTGCTCAACAAATATTCATTTTGTACTCTCCCAAGTCCTTTAATCAATCTCCATATGCTTAGTCCTCTCGTGAAATATAGGATTGGCTGCAATTTGTAGGGCTGCCTTATTGTCACAAAACACACTCACATGCTGCTCAATTGAAATGCCAAGCTCTGTGAACAACCCAAGTAGCCAAACTACTTCTGCAGTAGCTGTTGCAAGACTTCTATATTCTGCTTCTGCTGAGCTTCTACACACTGTCTCCTGCTTCTTAGACTTCCATGACTCCAATGATTCCCAAACTTCATAAAGAAACTAGTTACTGACCTTTTGGTATTAGGACATGCAGCCTAGTCTGCTTCACAAAAGCAAGTCAGACTGTTTGCACTTTGCTGCTCAGTAGCATTTCCATTCCTGGATTCAGTTTGATATACCTTACAACTCTTATTGCTGCTTTCCAGTGAGACTGCGTGGGTGACTGCATAAATTGACTAAGTATTCGCACAACCAAATATTATATCTGGCCTTGTGATAGTTAGATATATTAATCTCCCAATCAATCTCTGATAACTTGCATCATCTTTCATCAATTCATCTCCAGACACCCCAACATGAGCATCAAATTCTGCTGAAGTAAACTTTTGATTCATATCTATTGGTGTGGCCATTGGTTTAGTAGCTCCCAACCCCAGATCAGAAATCAATTGCAAGACATACTTCCTTTGATTTAGTAAGATCCCTTTGTTGGATCTCACAACTTCAATTCCCAAGAAGTATTTCAATTCTCCCAAATCTTTTACTTTGAATTTGTGATCTAAAATATCTTTAGTTTCCTGAATGAACTGCTCATTGTTTCCTGTGATGAGCAGATCATCCACATACACAAGAACAGCCACAAAGTCTGCTCCTTTCTTCTTGATAAACAGTGAATAGTCATATAGACTTTGCTTTACCTTGCTTCAAGAAGTGCCTCTGTAAGTTTGATGTTCCATTATCTTGAAGCTTGTTTTAGTCCATATAAGGACTTCACTAGCTTGCACACCTTAGTCTCCCCCTGTCTTCTAAAACCTTGAGGCATTTTCATATATTCTTATTCATATAAGTCTCCCTGCAAAAATGCATTATACACATCCATTTTATACATAATCCACCCTTTTGATGCTGCTACTATAATAACTGACCTTATAGTTACCATTTTGGCAACTAGTAAAAAGGTCTCATGGCATTCTAACCCCTCTTTTTGGCTGTATTCTTTTGCTACTAGTCTGGTTGTGAATCTTTCAACATCTCCATTAGCTCTATACTTTATTTTATACACCTATTTGATCCAATTGTGTTCTTTCCCTTAGGTCCAATGCCTTGATTTCCTACATTATTTCTTCAACCTATCTCTTGTCTCTTGATGCTTCTGTGAAGTTCTGTGGTTCTGTGAGTGCTGAGACCTTTGCCACAAAGCTTTTACATGCCTGTGAAAGCTGATTAAAACACAGATAGTCTAAAATAGGATATAGTGCCACATTATGTGCTTTGCTCTTGGTAACATAATCTTGTAACCATATAGGTTCTTTGGTGCTTCTTCCAGATCTTCTTGGATCTTGACCTTTGATTTCTGAGGGTATATATTCAGGTGCAGCCTCCATGCATTCAACATCCAGAGATTGGCTTGGTGCAGGATCATTTTCTGTATGCTCATCATGTTCAGCTTGTTGAGGTTCAGGTACTTGTTCAGATACTGCAACATCAACATTTACTTCTTCAACATGAGAAATGGAGGCATTTTCACAGACTGCATCATCTTCATCATCTTCATGAACTTCATGGACTGCACCAAAGTTATCAGCTATATCAGCTTCACCTTCAGGTGCATGATCTGCAGCAGGTGTCTCCAATGGTTCAAGTGTATGATCTGCAGCATGTCCCTGTAATAGTTCATGCTCAAATGATACACTCCCCCTAGCTGGAACATTAACAGGATTCAATGAGGAAGACATAGCAAATGGGAACATATGCTCTTTGAATACAACATCCATGCACACACAAAAAATTATTAGTTGCAAGGTGCAAAAGTTTGTAGTCTTTTTGTGTGTCTGAATAGCCCAAGTGCACAGCAGGTTTGGCTCTTGCTGAGAACTTGTTGTCATGCATCATAGTGGTGGCATAACATAGACATCCAAAAACTCTTAATGCTCAAGAGAAGGCTTCTGAAGATGTAGGAGTTCATAGGGTGTTTTGCCTTGAAGAATGATAGAAGGGAGCCTGTTTATAATGTAAGCAGCAGCAATAATACATTCTCCCCAGTACTTAATTGGTACATTTGCCTGGAATTTTAGGGCCCCTGCTGCATCTAATATATGTCTATATTCTCAGTCAACTATCCCATTTTGTTGGGGAGTATATGCACAGCTACTTTGATGTATAATACCATAGAATTCAAGTAATTCAAAGCACTGTTTACTAAAAAACTCTCCTCCATTATCAGTTCTAACAATCTTAATTGGTACACCAAACTGTGTTCTTAGCATAGAGAGAAACTTTTGTAACACAACAATTACATCAATTTTCAATTGTAGTTAATGTACCCAAGTATACCTAGAATGATCATCCACAACTGTTAGAAAGTAGTGTTTTCTTTCATGTGTGGGAAACTTGTATGGTCCCTAAACGTCCATGTGCAAAAGCATTAAAGGTCTACTACTCCTTGTAACACTTCTAGAAAAAACAAGTCTGCTCTGCTCAACTAAGGGGCAAACAGAATAGTCTTTATTCACATCAAGATCTTTAAGTTGTAAGGATTCTATATTTTTCATTGTACCGACAGAGGTGTGACCTAATCTTTTATGCTAAAGAATGCCATATTCTTCTGGTTTCTAAAGTGCTGCAACTGATGCTTGCCTCAAACCTCTAGCAATGTGTTCATCCTTCACCATATATAGGCCTCCCCTTTTCTTACCAATCCCCCTCACCCTGCCACTCCAAAGGTCCTGAAATACACAGAAGTCAGGATAGAGATGAACAGAGCAACTGAGTTCTTTTGTGAGCTTTGACAAAGATAAAAAATTGAATTTGAAGTCGGGAACATATAAAACATTCTTAATCTCCATGTCCTTAAGAAATGTTGCACTACCAATGTGAGATATATTTGTCTTCTCATCAGTAGGTAAATGTACTTGATCTCTACCAGTTTTCAACTCAGTCTTAAAGTGTAGTATATCTAGAGAAGCAGCTATGTGATGAGTCGGACCAGAATCAACTATCCATTCCTTACTAGGATTATCAGTCATTAGTGCAGTAGCAATTCCTGCCATGTTGACTTGTGGAAGTGTGGTATCTTTATTCAGCATATCCAGGAATTGCCTATATTGATTCTCAGTGAAGAAGTGCCTTTCTACATGACCATCATTGTGTTCCTGTTCTTCATGCTCAGCATTACCAGTTGCACAATTGGCCACAACCTTCCTTTGAGCATTAAAATCTGCAGGGTAGCCTATCAACTTATAGCAATTTTCTTTCAAGTGTCCAGTCATCTTATAGTAGTCACATTTCATGAATGGCTTCTTCCCTTTATAGCATTGTCCTCGTCCAGCTTGCATAGCAATAGGATCTCTTCTATCTCCTAAGGTTGGATATGGACTTGATCTTTGGCTTTCATCCTCAATTATCAACGCATAGGCTTGGTTCAAGGTTGGTTCAAATGTCTTCATCAGAATTTGCCTCCTTGCCTGCGAATAGGTCTCATTCAGACCACTGAGAAACTGAAGCAGCCTTTGACGATGAACGTATTCAATATAGTCCTTTGATTTAGCACAATCACAACCTAGCGTGGGAACTAAAGCATCATACTCCGACCACATTTCCTTCAGTCCCGTGAAATAGGAATCAATAGAGTCAGTTCCTTGGGAATCGTTGCAATTTCTCTGTGTAATTGAAAAATTCGAACTTGATTGACCTTATCAAACCTCTCCTTCAGGTCTTCCTAAACTAGGTGCGCATCTGATGCATAAGCTATTCCACTAACGAGGTTCATTGATACAGTGTTCATGATCCATGAGAGCACAATAGCATTGCATGTCTCCCATTCCTTATGTAATTCCTTCTTAAAGGTTTTCTTCTTACATATACAAGTTACAAACCATAGCTTTCGCTTAGCTTGAAGAGCAATTCGCATCGTCCTACGCCATAATCCATAATTTTCAGACCCGGTGAGCTTGTTAGGATCAAAACTGAGCTTGGTGTATCAGAAGGATGCAGAAACAGAGGATTTGTGGTCAATTTTCTCGTCTGCCACTACTGAATTTGAGCGAGAATTTGTATCACACAAACACGAACCTACTCAGCTAAGATGCAACCAGTATCAATTGCGCTGATACCATATGAGTTGAGCTGATTCCAGTCACGGCTCAACCTCCATTAATGGAGGTCCAAATGAGTCAGTTGTGCTTAGGAGGAGAAGATAAGTATTAGAGAGAGAATAATTGGTAAGGAACTTTCTAGTATATTGAAGATTGTAAAACTGTATACCAACTAATCCCCAATCAACTAATGCCAACTAACTATAACTACTCTAACTAGCAGGTGACAGCTGGTTAACTGCCTTGCCCAGCTGTCATACTACCTCATATTCTCACATGGATTCAGCTAGGAAGAATCATGTGTATGGATATATTTTTTTGGCTAACTGCTCATTGTTTGAAAAATAAACTACCAGTTTAGTACTGAGAGGAAGTGGGGTATCAAAACAGAGAAAATAATCAAGAGGCCGATTAGAAAGAGAGACCAGCACAGTTACACACTTACACTCCTTAATCCGTTCTAATCAGTAAAATAAGAAATATGTGATGCAAAATGACAAGTCATTGCTGCAAATTCAAAGGATCCTTTCAAAGGGGTGTGCATTCGATTTATCGATTCGATTTTGACCCTTATCGATAATTACTTATCGATTATCGATTTGTACATATGCTTATCGTTATCGTTTCAATAAGGTTTCGATTTTTTCGATTTCGATTTATCGATTTTTGGGGCTTATCGATTCGGTTATCGATTACACCAATAAGAAAATTTGCGGGATTCCACGGAAAGTATATCGCTATAAAGACGCCTAACTAATATGGACCAAAAGAAGCTAAAATAAGACGAACACCGTTTATAACATAAAAATTGTGTCAACAAGCACATGCAACAAAACTAAAGTAAGGGATCAAATGTGTGCCACCAACACTCCAATGGTATAAAAAAAATACATAATCACGGCTAATTCTATTTTCCATTAATTTGAACTTCATTCCCTTGAGCTTTAAGTATGATCATTCCTTAAATGTGGTAGATGAAATAATAGGGTTATGGACTTAGGGTAAAGGAAAGGGTATTATAGAATAAGGGTAAAAAAAAAAATTAAAAAAAATATTTTTTTTAGTATTTCTTATCGGTTTATCGATAAACCGATAAACCGAAGAGGACAAAATCGAAATCGAAACCGATAACTCGATAAGGAAAATTTCGAAATCGAAATCGAAATCGAAATCGATAAATCGATAAACCGATATCGATAAACCGATAACAAATAATCGATTCGATTTATCGATAAACCGATTCGAATGCACACCCCTAGTCTCGATGCATCCGTAACTCCATTACTTGCTATCACCGTAAAATAATCACTACCGAACAACCACCAACAATTGATCACCGACGTACTATATATCACCATTATCCACCTCCTCATAATCAACACCAATAATCATCATTAGCTATTGCTACCAACCGTCATCGACACTATCTCACAATGATCATCACCAGGCACTACCTTACAACCATCATCGACAATCACTTCTGACGCTAGCTTTTAAAGGTCTTCTCGTCAAATAAAGAGTTTTACAATTCAATATAATTTTGAATTTTTATTACGTGTCCTTTTTAACGCAAAATAAATATATTTTGGTCACATAATAGCTTTAAAAGGTCTTTTCATAATATAAACAGTTTCTAGAATACAATAATAGGATAATATCTATTTATTTATTTATTTGTGTTTTAATGGTATTACTTATTCAGTGTATTCTGGAGACAATATTTTAATAATTAGATATGCAAAAGCAAACAAACAAACGAACTGCATTAGCCAGTGTTTGTGAGATTGTACTTGTCAATTTGTAGAATTCTAAGCTAAGCTAATCGAGCAACATGCAGACTAGATGAGCTTCATTGCTATCTAGGGCACAGATTCTGTAGGAAATGAGAGCAGAGAGAAGAGAGGAAGAAGGGATCGTGTATTAGAAAAACTGAATTGTATCTTTACATTTTGGCACTTAACAGTGCTTTTATAACAGACTCTAACTACCTTAAATAATTAGTCCTTCTAACTTTTTAAATTGCTAAGTGACCCCTAACTACCCAAGGCTTTATTCTTGCACTTCAATACTCCCCCTCAAGCTGGAGAGTGGAAGACATCTAACACTCCCAACTTGGACAATAATAGATGATGCTGAGCAGCTCCTCACCCTTTAGTCATCAAATCTGCCAAATGTTGTTTGGTGGATACATATTCAGTGGTGATGAGCCTTGTCTTGATCCTTTCCCTCACAAAATGACAATTAATTTCTCTGTGCTTGGTTCTCTCGTGAAATATGGGACTGACTGCTATTTGCAAAGCAGCTTTGCTATCACAGTGTAAATACATTGGTTTTATCACATAGTTACCCAGTTCTTCTAGCAATCCAACCATCCAAACTACCTCTGCAACTACTGCAGCCATGCTTCTATATTCTGCTTCTGTTGAGCTTCTGCTGATAGTTTGTTGCTTCTTGGACTTCCAAGGCAGCAAGGAGTCTCCTACTTTGACAAATGTACCCTGTGGTCAACCTTCCAGTATTTGAGCAAGCTGCCCAATCTGAGTCGCAAAACACTGTTAAGTTGTTTGTCTCACCTTTCTTCAACAATACACCCAATCCTGGAGATCCCTTGATGTATCTCACCAATCTCAAGGCTGCATCCATATGTGATTATTTAGGATTCTGCATAAATCGACTCAAGACTTGCACAGCAAAACTTACATTGGTCTTGTGATGGTCAAATAAAGCAGCTTTCCTATCAACTTTTGGTAGCTTCCAGCATCCTCCAATAGCTTATCTCTTGTGTTCCCAGCATGGTTGTCATAGTCCACAGTAGTCAGCTTATGATTGAGTTCCATTGGAGTTGCAACTAGCCTGCATCCACTCAAACCTGCCTCTGAAATAAGCTCCATGGCATATTTCCTCTGGTTCAATACAACTCCTCCTTGTGATCTCAATACCTCTATCTCAAGAAAAGATCTAAGTTCCCCCAAATCTTTCACTTTTGAAATTGTGGTGAAGAGTCTGCTTGACTTTTGTAATCATACTGTGAGAATTCCCAGTTATCAACAAATCATCCACATACACCAGGATGATCACAATGTTCTTGCCACTTTTCTGGGTAAAGAGTGAATGATCATGTGAGCTCTAAGAGTATCCATCTTGCAGCAAAGCATTTGTAAGCTTAATGTTCCATTGCGTCGAGGCTTGTTTCAAATCATAGAGGGATTTAAACAATGGACACACCTTAACCCCCCCCCCCCACCTGTTAGTGAAATCCCAGAGGTAAAGCCACATAAACTTTTTCAGTGAGGTCATCTTGGAGAAAGGAATTATTGACATCCATTTGAATCAATGGCCAACCCTTGGAATCAGCAACACTGATAATTGTTCTCATTGTAACCATTTTAGCTATAGGTGAGAGAGTTCCATGATAATCTAGTCCCGCCTGTTGTGTGTAACCTTTAGCTACCAATCTAGCTTTAAACCTGTCCACCTCTCCATTTGCCTTGTATTTTATTTTGTAGACCCATTTTGAGCTATTTTATTTTGTAGACCCATTTTGAGCCTATGGCTTGCTTCCCGATGGGCAGGTCAACAATTTCCCATGTGTTATTGTCTTCTAGTGTTTGTATTTCCTATGCCATTGCTTAGGGGTGGCAATGGTTCGGTTTGGCCGGTTATTTTATAAATTTTGTAACATACCAATTTTTCGGTTACTCTATTATGTATAACAAAAATTAGACTTTTCAAAACCGTCCCAATCATATCGGTTTCTCTTCGGTATCAGTACGATTTGATTATTTTTCGGTATTTTTTTAAATGTCATGTAAAAGTCACTAGTAGATGTAGAATGCAATAATGTACGTACTTTTATAGGACTTAGCAATACTCTCTTGAAATTTTTGCATTTTAAAGGGTGAAAAATTAAGAAAATATGAAAGATGGCTAGAGTATAGATCCATCAACTACTCTACAACAGCGTAAAAGAAACTAAGTAAATTAATATAAAGAAAATATAAATCACACGAGTAGAAAGATATTAACCAAGTTGGGTCTGGGACTCAAGAATAAAGTCTATAGAAGATTAAATATTCAAAAAATAAATCTAAATCATACGAAAGAAAACATAATCATACATTGTAGTTTGCTACTCATAATCGCTACAATATCTTGTGTCTTGATAGTGAATATGCTAAAAATAATTTAATTACAATTGAAGTAGCATAGTAGGTTTGAGAACTATGATTTTGAGTTTATTACCTTTTGGCTTGTAGTTGTTTTCATAATTCCAAGACCCAAGGCAAATTTAATGTTTTGTTATTTTTAAACTTAATATATAAATATATTTTTCACATGTAAATTTATTCGGTACGCTTTGGTATTTTTTTGGTTTATTTTCATAAAATAAAAAATATACCCTAATTATCGGTACGGTTATAGATTTATATAAAAACCTATGGTTTTATTAAAAGAAACCTAAAAGCTGATTCGGTACGGTTCGATCGGTTTAGTCGATTTTTAAATATCCATTGACACTTTGCTTATCCACTGTGGATCCTGTGTTGCTTCTCTGAAGGATCTAGGTTCCACTAAGACTGAAAAAGCTTGTAAATGGGCTTGATATGTTGTGGTAAGATGACCATACCTAACATGATTTGAAATTGGAAATCTGCAGTTCCCAGACAACTTTGTAGAAGTCACATAGTATTTCATCCATATGGGAGGAGTTGTCTATCTAGGTTCTCTTAGAGTTGGTTGTGCAGGTAAGTCAGTTGTAGTTGGTGCAGACACTGGCTCAACAGGAGGAACCTCTCCTGACACCTCACCAAGTGTTGAGCCTTGAGTATCTGGTAAGTTCAACTGCTCCAGTGTTGTAGAGATTGGCTCTACTTCTTCTGATTCCAAGTCATCATCAACTGCAAGAGAATCAATTGCATCTCGATTCATAGGTAAAGTAGTATCTTCTTGACCCACAGCTTGTATAGGTGGTGAACTAGGAATGTATTCTTCTGCTGAAATGGGCTGTTGAAGAAACATGTCATCTGATTCAACACTTGTATCCTTGAAAGGAAATCTGCCTTCTTGAAACACTACATCCCTGCTTACAAAAAAGGATTTTTGTTCAAGATCATACAGTCTATATCCCTTTTGTGTTTCTGAGTAGCTAATGAACACTGCCTTCCTAGCTCTGGGTGCAAACTTATCTCCCTTGGGCAAAGTTGTTGTGTGGCATTGACAACCAAATACCCTTAGGTGATCCACCTTAGGTTCTTTCCCATACAACAGCTCATAGGGAGTTCTTCCTTTCAGAACTAGTGTAGGTAGTCTATTGATCACATAAACTGCAGTCTTAACACAATCACCCCAAAATCTTATAGGGACTCCACTTCGAAATTTAAATGCTCTGGCCACCTCTAAGATATGCCTGTGCTTTCTTTCTGTATCATTTTGCTGTGGTTTATAGGGACAACTAGTTTGATGAATAATACCATAAGAAGCGAACAAGCTATCACATTGTGTATTACAGAATTCTGTTCCATTGTCAGATCTTAAGTACTTGACATTAACACCAAGATGATTGTATATTATCAGCAGAAAGTTTTTTGAAACTACACACACTTCACACTTCAACTATATTAGACATGCCTAGGTGTATCTACTGTAATCATCTACTATTGTAACAAAATATTGTTTCTTGCCATAGGTTGGAACCTTGTATGGTCCCCAAACATCTAAATGAAGAAGTTGAAAGATAGCAGTTGAGTTTGAAACACTAGTTGGAAATTGTAGTCTACACTGTTTTGAAAGAGGGCATACATCACAATTTCCTGTTTCTATACTGCTGATTTTATTCTTCAAGACTGATAAGTGCTGCAAAGATCTTATTGAAGCATGTCCCATTCTGTAATGCCATAAAACTGTTTCTGCATTTTCCTTTGTAATTGTTTCCGCCACCAATGCCTTGTTTTCTGCTTCCATTTGCTTTATTACGTATAATCCTTCATGTTCTCTATCAATCCCCAATACATTAACACTGTAAAGCCCCTGCAACACACAGAAATCAGGGGAAAATGCAACTAAACAGCTGAGGTCTTTTGTGAGCTATGACGCTAATAGCAAATTAAATTTAAAATCTGGTACACGGAGGACATTCTTCACTTTCTAGTTTCCTAGAATCTTTGCATTCACTGTATATGTAATGTTTGAAGTCTTCCTTGTAAGCCATTGTACACTTCTATAACCATCTATCATCTTAAGTGTATCTAGTAAATCCTTATTACAGGTTATATGATGAGTAGCACCTGTATCCACTATCCTATCCTGTTCTATGGCATTGGACATTAATGAAACAATACTTGCCATGTTTGTGGAACACTTTGAACCTGTAGGTTTGTTCAACAATTTGCTGGTACTGCTCCTGTGTCAGGTAATGTCCTTGTGATTGACTCTTAGAGTTGCTGGTATCTTCTGCATTTGCATTGCTAGCAAATGTCCTGCCTCCTCCTGCAACATGAGTCTTCTTCTTGCTCTTAAAATCTGTTGGATATCCTACTATATTGTAGCAATTTTCCTTCAAGTGGCATTTATAACCACAGTGTTCACATACCATTCCTATCTTCTTAGGTTTGTTATATTGAGGCCTCCCTGCCATCATAGTCAGTAGATCTTTGTTCATATCAGCCACTCCTAGAGCCCTTTGACTCTCTTCCTGAGTCACTATGGCATAGGCTTCATTTACACTGACTACAGGCCTCTTCATCAATACATTACTCCTCACATTACTATAGCTTTTACTTAGACCCATAAGAAATTGTAACAAACGCTGGTGTAATAGATGTTCAAGAGATGGTCTAGATTCCTCACAATCATAGCCTGGTTTTGGTGCTAGTATGTCTAATTCATTCCACAAATCATTCATTTTTGAATAGTATGTGGTTACAGAATTCATACCATGTCTTAACGATGCAATTTTTGTCCACAACTGATAGACCCTAGTGAGACTACATCTGTCAAACCTTTCCTTAAAGTCCCTCCACACCTTCTTTGCACTTGATGCAAACATGATACTTGGAATCAATTCATTCGCCACTTTACTACCTATCCATGACAGCACAATCGCATTACACTTCTCCCATTGTTCTGCCAACTCACCTCTATACATGTTTTTCATACAACTTTTGTCTACAAAACCAAGCTTGCTCTTTCCCCTAAGGGCTAGCTTCATTGCCCTGCTCCACAGTGCATAATTTTCTTGCCCTGTGAGCTTAATTGGCACTAGAACTAGTCCTGGAGCATTTGACGCATGGAGAAACAGCGGATGGTTGTGTTCCAGCTGCGTTACTTCAATACCTGCCATTTTTATAGGTTTCGAGTTCCGTGATCGTCAATTTTCTAGTAGTTCTGTCAATTCACCGTAATCTCGCCGTGAACTCGTCGGAGAACACTCTAATTTTAGGAGCGTTGCTCTGATACCATGTTAATTTGTAGAATCCTAAGCTAAGCTAATCGGGCAACATGTAGACTAGATGAGCTCCATTGCTATCTAGGGCACAGATTCTGTAAGAAAGGAGAGCAGAGAGAAGAGAGGAAGAAGGGATGGTGTATTAGAAAAAATGAATTGTATCTTTACATTTTGGCACTTAACAGTGCTTTTATAACAGACTCTAGCTACCTTAACTAATTAGTCCTTCTAACTTTCTAAATTGCTAAGTGACCCCTAACTACCCAAGGCTTCATTCATGCACTTCAATAGTACTCATACTCAAGAAAATTCTCTAATAGACTCTCACTAGTGGGGTTAATTGGGAGATAATAACATCGAATGGTCGTTAAATTTTAATCCATGAAAGAGACACGAACGCGCTCGAATAGTCGAATTCATCTTTACTTGCTTAATAGTCAAAAGGGCGGCCAAATTGTGTTAATACCAAACATCTTTATCAATTGAGAGGTTAATAAAAATGGTGGGTGAGCTAATTAGCTAGCTTACCATGTGTAGCCATTTATCAAAGCCCTTATCATTGAATATAACGTTTTTGGATTGTTCACATCATCACATTTGCCTCTAGAAACTTCCACATTTGGGTTTATTTCCTAATTGGTTCATGCTGATTATACAAAAATAGCTGGTTAGCTTTATTGTTTATTTTTTCTCGCCGGTATACATAAATTATATATTAATCATACGAAAAAGGGTCATATATGTCCCTCTACTAGCTAAAATAAGCTAGATCTGTCCGCCATTATACTATTTGATCTAAATTGTCCCTACCATTCAAGTCTCTTGTTCAAAATACCCCTCTGCCGTCAAATTCTAATTTTAAATTATAAAAAGTTACGTGTCAAAGTCCTATTGGCTAACTAAACCCACTCCTTCCTTTTCTTTGACCCAGTCGACCCCAAATCTCTCACCAGTCATCTTCCCAACCTCACTCTTTCTTCTTTCGAACAACTCATTCCTCTAAATACTACAGGGCAAATTCCTCAAAAAATGAAGATCGAAAATTTAACATTCAGATAATTAGCTCATTAAGCTCAGTGCTCCCATTCATCTATGAAACTAAACACTAAATCTAAACGATTCACACTAACTAATACAGAAAGAAAATTGATTTAAAAAAGAAACACATGTATAACTATCAAAAAAATCAAAGGAACTATAGTAATTTTCGATAGAGAATCAATTATATCTGCAAACGTGTGGTCCTCTTCATCAAAGACAAGAATCTCCATGCACTCATGCCCATTTTTCTTGTTGTGACCCACTTTTGTATAGTTCCAGGAGTGTCAATTATTAATTGTGTTGAAACAGGCCGACACCTTGAAATTGCACATAGTTGGCTGCATCTGCTTGGATAGCTAATTCTGTTATACCAGTGAATTTCCCCATTCTTATAAGCACTTCCATATTCTGTAGCATTTTCCACCATTTAAACCAAATCTTTTGAAGTTTTTATTTGTTTGAATTGATGAAAAATCTTCTTAATATTCTCTTTGAAATGTAATAACATTAAAAGAGATCCTTCTTCATCTCAACATTAAAACAGATCCTTCTTCCTCCAAATACTATGGGGATAAATGGATAAATGAGTTGTTGAAGAAAGAAGGAAAAGGTGAGGTTGGAGAGAGATTGCACTTTTTTAGGGTTTTTTTCCGGGTGGTCGGATTATTTGGGCGGGTCGACTAGGTCAAAGAAAAAGGAGCAGTGGGTTTAGTTTAGCCAATAAGACTCTGACACGTGACTTTTCATAATTTAAAATTGGAATTTGACAGCAGAGCGGTATTTTGAACAAGAGACTTGAACGGTAGGGACAATTTTGATTAAATAGTATAACAGAGGACAGATCTAGCTTATTTTAACTAGTGGAGGGATATATATGACCATTTTCCGTTAATCATATATAATTAACATATAAATTATACGTATATTATATTTTTGCCAGCTAATTTTAATTTAGGCGGTTAGTAGGCAGCTATATTTTCGTTAATTCTTCTATTAACTATGTTGCCCAAGACTTGGAATTATTGCATCCAATTTAGGCTTCGGCGTGCCTCTCCTCAAGATCACACCGTCTTCCCCATTCACGCAAATAGGGAGTGGTTCATAGCCTTGGGAAAAATAATTCACTCTTTTTGCGCCAAATAATCAAAGGGTGTAATTATAAACTTGCTTATCTTTTTCAAATAATAAGAGTGAGACTTATAAGACGTTTGGTGAATCTTCTCTGCAAATAAAGTAACTAATTTTGAGCGGCAGTAGTAATATAACAATTTTTATCCCGCAAGAGGAAATAAAAGCTTGTAGTTTCTCCTAAGAAATAGATTGCAGTACAGAAAAATAATATTTTCAGGGCAAAAATATCTTTACGAAAAGCTTACTTACCAAATTATTACACATTTGTCTCCTGCACTCCTCTTTCAGTTACCATTTTTGAATTTTTTTTTTCAAAACTTAATTGAAGTCTCTCGTAAAAAAGTATTTAATCTTTTTATCTAGTTAAATATATTTTTACACTTCAAAAAGAAATTTTTAAAGATTGGTCCAAAAAAAAAATCAAGTACTAAGGAAAGAGCTTTTCAAATAATCTATCTATCTATATCTATATCTATATTATATTAAAAATGGGAAGCTCCAAACTAAAAAGTTAAATTATCAATATACCCTTTTAAAATTAATAATAACAATAATTAAATAAATACCTACAGAAATATTAATTAATATTGTGCCTTTTCTAAATAGTTGTGTCCCTTCATTGTTAAGCACCAACTTTTAAACTAAAGACACACTTTTCCTATACATTCCCGTGAATTTTAACAAGATAAACATGGGTGTGCCATGAACAAGTTTCCTCCGATTTTGTGTGCTTTCCTTTCTGAATTTGAATGCACTCAATTTATGTAGCGGTGAAGTGCCAAATATTTTTATTCAAACTCGGATGGATCGAGGTATTCTAGCAACAAAGTATCTTTGGTTACAACTTTTTTTTTTTTAGCAAACAGGAAATATATATATTAATAATTAAGTAGGGTCCAGTACATTGTACGCATACTTGGTGTCCCTAAGGACACTTTGATTACCTAGGCTTGCTAGAGTGTTACAAGCATCATAAGATCGAAATTTCTCAAAAACATATTGTTCTAGTAGTTCCTTTTCCACAAAATATTTTACATAAGATGGAGCCTCAATAAAAGTGTTCTTGCCTTCCAATTGATCCTTAGCCTTTCTTACCATGTGATGAGCTACACTATTCCCTTGCCTGAATGTGTGCTGGAGGATTATCTCTTTCTGTTGGTGCATTAACCACCTACATTCATTAACAATATCGTCATATAACCTATTGCCATGTAAGATGGATTGGATAACCTCCACAGAATCCGTCTCTATTATAAGCGGGTACATTCTCCATTCCTCAGCCATTCCCTCTAATAGAGCTTTTATCTCCACTTCTAGTGATCCGCTTGCATATGATGGTTTGCCAAATCCCACAATCCAGTGTCCTTTTGCATCCCTGAAAATATCTCCCAGACCACATTTTTGTGTAACACTGTCAAAGCTAGCATCAATGTTTAGTTTTGACCAACCTTTTGGTGGTTTTTGCCATGCAATTTTGATGGGAATTTTTGGAGGAGTGTACATACTTTTTTCAGTGAGGAGTTTATACTTAGTTGCCTTTTGAATAATAAAGTCATCATTGATGGGAGTAGTCGTGTTGTTTTGGTTGTTATTGTTTCTATTTATCCAAGTGTACCAAATAACAAAAGGAAAGAAGAGGTCCCAATTTATAAAATTATTTCTGACTGGGTAGTTATAAGCTTTCAGTTGGTTCAGCCAGTGATCACCTTGTGCCTTATAGTATTGATGCCACCCAAGATTATCCCAAAAAAATTTAGTCGCCTTGCAGCTAAAGAAAATGTGGGCTATAGATTCTTCCTCATTATTTCTGCATATAGGACACATTGGATCGATGTTTAGGCCAATTCATGCCAGATATTTGTCACACCTCCTTTTTTACACACCTACCCCGAAGGATAATGTATAAGGGAGTTTTTTCATTTAAAGTGACATTATTCGAAATGGGATTATTTATTTATTTCTTAGAGTCGCCACTTGGGATAGGATTGGCTTTTGGTGTCCCAAGTCACCGGTTTAATTTAAATCCCAAATCGAGGAAAAATTCGACTTCCCAATTGGAGTCTGCGAACCAGAAATTCTGAATAAGGAATTCTGTTGACCCGAGGGAAGGTGTTAGACACCCCCGGATCCCGTGGTTCTAGCACGGTCGCTTAAATTATTATAAATGGCTAAAAATCTAATTTTTGTACATGTTCAAACCTATAGTGCACTTTTAAGATTATTCACCGCTTTCAGTTATTTTTACGAAAGTGAACGCCGTTTAAGAGCGTGTTCTTGGATCACGTCACATGAAATGCACCCGGATCCTCGACACCTCTTATTCAACGTTTTGGGATTTGGATTTGGGTTGCATGAAATGCACACCCGAATTTAGGAAGATAATATTATTAAATAACACGCCTAAAGCAACTAGCGTTGTTAACTTTGCGAGGGCCATGGAAATTTGCTAAATGGCACGCCTCGAAGTCTAATTTCAAAGGATTGTACTCAACTAAAGCAAACTACAGATGCTCAATTTTTGAAATCGTAACCGTGAATGATAGATATGCAATTGTAACTAGCTCTTTAAATATTAGCAAACTAGTATGAATTATTTACAGCTTAACGAGCTGATGGCTCAAAATAAAATGAATCAAACTGTTCTAGATATGGCCAGTACCAGCACTTGCCACAAAATGACAAAAAATCACAGCAATAGGATGAATGCAACACAAATCTTGCCA